TAGTAAAAAGTATTGTTACTATGAATAATTAACTTGTTAAAGAGTGAATGGGTTTTATAAACGGTGTTGATAAACGGACATCCACATGTACCACCGTCTCACTTAATGAGAATTACTAGCAACATAAAACCATAAGAGTCACGGTATACTGACAGTTCTGTTTCGCGTCCTTATTATTTTCATACAGGAACGTTTATAAAGATGTTACTTTTTTGCAGACTGCAAACCAAACAGTTCTGAATGGCTGATCATTGTGGGAACTGTATTTCTCTATTTTACGTCTCTCGCAGAAGCCCTGGGTTGGAATAATACAGCGAACTACATTACCCATACTTCTCTGCTGTTGTGTGAGCCGTAGAGGAGGAGCGTGCCGGGTGTGCAGGCTGTTACCGATGGGAAGATGGTGGAAGCTGGAGCCGCAACGTGCACGATCCTCCGTCCTAAACATTTCCAGAAACATTTACCATCACAACCTGGCATTAGATATCGGTTACCTGGGGACAACCATAGATAATAAATACTAAAACTAAGACGGAATTCTAAGTATTTTGATTTCGGTGTGAGGCGCACCTTGCGTTGGTGGTGCCTAAAGCGTGGGGCCAAACTGCACAGATCGCAGTATTTTGATACTCTGGGAAGGATTTCTCGGCTGGGATTATTGATAAACCGTTGACTGACTACAGCCTCTTGTTCTCTATAATCTGTCTCCTTTGGGCTTCGGTGTTTTGGAGCGGCTGTCAGAATGCCACGAAGCAAAAAGGGGAAACGCGGTGGGAACAGTTCAAGTAAGGGTGAGTTTAACACCTCCTGCTGTCACAGACAGAATAAACATGGTCACACGACAAAATATCACCAAGCAATATTTTTGTGGTTTCTTCCAGCAACATATCCTTAAAACAAGATCAGTATACTTGCATAATTGTAAATACTTGTTTTCATAACATTTGTCGGTACGTGGAACTATTGTTTTTAAAACACTGGTAAAGTATGTTTTATTGTAAGCATAAAACCTCACTAAATTATCACATATTTATGCTAAAACAATCAAGTAATGTAACATTTTAAAATACGACTAACGTTACATGCTTGTTTGGGTGACAAATTGCCCAACTGGAAACTGAGTCCCCCCCTATTTATTTCCTTTACGATTTTAAGCAAAAAAGATTAAAAGATTGAAAATTGATGAGGCATATTCTTTGCAACCATTTCAGCAACATTTACAGTGTTATTTCAAGCGCCAGTCATCTAAATATTTGAATTGTGCATAATAAGCAAAATATTTAACAATGACTATTTTAGAAACCGTGTTTGCCTTTTACCTCTGCAGTAAGGATAGAAGCAAAGTGATTGACTGTCAGGGTTATTCCGTCTGCAGCATGACAGGTGAAGCTCATGCCTGCTCGTGTATATTTAGCCAAAGTATCACGGAGCCGCGAAAACCGGGCCTTCTCGGACTACTCACGCGAGCTGTGATATTAGATAAGTCATTGATTAAACTTTCAACTCTTAGTTTCAATGCAAAACTGGATTTCCGATTAAAAATGATATATATATTTTTTTTATAAGTTCACGAGCAGAGCCGCGTCACATGCAGTGTGGCAAAATGCAAGCATGGCAAAAAAAAGAAAGTAGGGATGGGCATTTTTCAAAAATATTGTATTCGAATATTTGGGCTCATAAAAACGAATATTCAAATATTGGTTTATTTAAATTACGTTTAATGAGAAATACATAATTTTTTAATAGTTAAGCTTTTGTCACCATTTACGAACAAGCTTATAGGCATTATACAAAACAATGTTCTACAACAACCTTACGTTATGTCTCAAGGTTTCCTTTCAGTTGAAAACGTGTGTAAACAATATATGTATATAAAGAACAAAAGCATTCAAGTCCAAGCAGAGCAAATGGAAAAAAAATAAAGCAGACCATGCCAATTACAGTACAGAACTTACATACACTCAAGTCGGCCTATGTTTATCCTGTTTAGGTTGTTTCACATGTTGAGAAAAACAATAATATCCACATGTTCGGGTGAAAGCTGGCTCCTTGAATAAGAACGCGCGCTGACACAGACGTTCCAGAGACACAAAGATAACGGTGTGCTAGCAAAGTTTCTTACAGCGCTTTGTGTTTTCTGTTCTTAAACCACTCTCCCTCGAGGAATCTTAAAGGGGTCATATGATGCCCATTTTCCACAAGTTGATATGATTCTTTAGTCTTAATGAAAAGTCTGTAACATAGTTTGGTTAAAATTTCTCAATGGTAGTGTAAAAAATTTTTTACCCTGTCAAAAACAGCTCTTTTCCGAGCATGCAGTTTTGTAGCATTTTCCTTTAAATGTTAATGAGCTCTGCTGACCCCGCCCCTCTCTTCCGAGCTGC